AAACGTGACAGCCCTATGGGATTGCTTCCGACCACCGCTCCTTGAAAAAAAAGCTCAACCTAGGTTAAACTTTGCGAACCAGTCCGTAGACGTCAGAATCCAGTCGCCTGATCCCAATAATGAGCCCTACAACCTCATAAACAACAGTGGAGCTTGTTCACGCCGCTAGACCGTTTTTCGTTGCTGAGTGGACCATGGAGGCAGAGTTTGGAGGCGGAGCAGGGAAAAAGGCGGTGTCACTTGGGCAACTCATGGTTAGTGCCGTTAATTTACTTCGCAACTTTCCTCCGAGAGGATGGGACAAGCTTCTCCACAGCAGGTCATTCTACCCTTCACACACAATCGTTTACACCTTTGAAGAGCACCCGATTCTGGACTCAACGCAGCTGCTTCAGGTTGGCGCAGATACTGTAGGCCTTTCTAAACTCGATGAGGAATGTCTCCACGCTCCCACGGCAAAGGGAGACCTCTTCTTCACCGCGGATGCCAGGTTGAATTTGACTCGGCGTCAAACCGTTCTCCTCCATTTGTTGAAGAGGACAAGCGACAACAATCACTGGAAAATTTGCTGGCACCACGCAATTCCAGCTCTCGATACTCCCCAGCATCCGTGGCGAACGAGACTGCTGAAGTAGAGGACGTTCAGATTAGGTTCAGAACCTTGTTACCCCCGCGACGTAAACAGTGATAGTGTACTCCTCAAACCAAGTGTCTTATCGCTCCCCCACTCCTATAAACAGATCACGAATGTTCTGATGATTTGAACGTACGAATACAACTGAAAAAGAAACTGAAAAATGCAATAATCCGTAGCATACTTCTTGACGAGTACTGGATACCTATCATCGTACAGAGGCGTCACAAGCGGCTGATCCATTGAGCACGTTTAGAAGCGAAATGCGTTGAAAACTGTAACATTTTTCTGGAACTGTGATAATTTGAAGAAAGTTTGGGTACTCCTAAATACTCACTGTACAGCGTCTGCATTTAATAGGAAATGTGAATTCCTGCATTTCTTGAAATATCCATCTCTCATATCAGCGAAACTAGCGCACTCCTTAACTTTATCGAATGGACCAAAGAGCGTGTTATTTGGAGGGAACCTTAACAATTAGCAGTTTTGATTCTGTCCTCAAAAATTAGAATACTGTGTTTTGAAGATCAGTTCCTAAAACTAGTACATTTGTTAGTTCTGTTGAACGGAGAAGTTCATGCGCTCCAGCAGATTGCTCCCCTTGAGACATATTATCGTTGAGAAATCGTTAGCCGGAGGAGCCTGTTCTAGCCTATCCTATTTGGCCTGCCTTTCGCTGGACACTAGTGTCACAGTTTCACCTCTTCTTTGTCAGCCTTTTTTAGAGTCTTGTCATTACGCGAAAAAGTGGAACCTTGAGACGAGGTGGATGAGTCCCCAGCTGCTGTAGCGTGCCATTTCCTCGGCTTCTTTTTGGTGCCCGGAGAAGGTTCGCCGACGGGGGGGGGGGGGGAAGGTGGGACATTTTGCACTCTCGCTACTTCCCATCGACGCGTCGACCCATCTAGAGAGCCATTTTGTGAGCCCACAGGTTCTACCACGGTGGTTCAGCGAGCTTGCTCCAGCTTCACAAGAGTTCACAGGTTTCACCAGAATGAGACATGTAGACTGGAAGTTGTGAAGCAACAAAAGTGCAAATGCCGCCCCCACCTCCCCGTTGCCCGAGCTGCGGCCTTAGTGCCCTCTAACTTTGATTGTTCTCTAGGGCGACTGTGTGTTTCCGCAAGATTCTGCTATCGAAGCGAGTGGTGCACCTGGAGGATAACACGAGCGGAGGCGAGAGACAGACGGGGCCATATATATCTATCCTTCAATCAGCCCCGTCACTCTACACTTTCGGCGGGGGGAATGTGACATTACTAAAGCTGCAGAACCAATCACCTCGTTCATGGGAAGGTGAGTATACAGTTCGCCTTCAAATGGCAGTGGTGCTTCTATTTTAGTGCTGTCAGCTGTCAGTGCCTCAACCTTTTAGCGCCCCCATTCCCAAAGAGCAATTATGGCACGATGTGCACGCCTATTTGGCACCCGGTCTAGAATGCCAGCTGGGTTCCATATAGTTGGAAAATAGTAAAAAAAGAAGTGAAACGATCAAAAAGCTGCGAAGAAAAGCCTCCGTTCCCAATGGCCCAATAAGCAATTTTGGACGAGTTTCCCGCAGACATCGTGTGAAAAACTGCTATGGTAGTACTGCTATGGTAGGCTGCATGTATGTATCCATTCAGCACCGCCACCACCTCATATCAGTCCTGTTGCTCCATATTATACTTCGCAAATGAAGCGATACGATGATCAGCATCGGTCGTGCATTCATGAGTGGGCGGGTGCGGGTTGCATGCTTGTCGATATGTTGCGGCTTAAAGGCAATTAGCACAATGATTTGGTGCTCGACCTAAAATACTATTAGGGCGCTATAGAACGGGGAAATGGCGAAAGAATGGAGTGAAACGGTCGAAATCCTGCGAAGAAAGAGCTTCCGTTCTTCATCAATTTTGGACGAGTTTCCAGGAGGGATCTTTCCAATAACCGCTACCGAAGGTACGGCTGCATATGTGTACTCATATATCCATGCAGCATCACGGCCGCTTCATACCAATCCCTTCGCTTCATAATTTGATTAGAAAATGGATCAATTCGAACGTCAGGAACAGTCATCCATTTAGGGGTGGGCGGGCGTGGCGGGCGTTTGGATCGACATGTTGTTGGCTTCATAGGACCCTTATAAGGGCAGCTTCACTGTGGAGAAATTCATAAGGCAGTGCCTGCCCAGCGTCGCGGAATTCCGTCCTGCAGGCGTATTAGTCCTACTCCTCCTCAGAATTTATTGCGTCAACTGCCTCTGAAGGTTTGCGATTCCGTCCTCCCCTGCGCTCAACTGCTGTAGGTACTAAGACTAGGCTAGAATATTTCCTATATTTCCTCCTTCCTCCTTGGTGTCCTTCAATGGATTTTTTTTTCAACACGGTCTTCTCTTACTTCCCTCGATAGACGCATATCCCAGCTTTCCTCTCCCCCCCCCCCTTACGTCCGATATCTGTCGAGCGACAGATTGGTGGACACTTTTGATGGGCTACCAGGAATTAAAATTGCCACTAACTCACCTAAAACGATCACAATTATTTTGTATGAAAGCTCATACCCTCATCCCCAGCGAGAAGATGGGGCCCTCGTCGTCGAAGATCTTGGACATGGGTGGTCCCATCGTCCTCATGAGAAGCTAGCCTTGCTTCGTATCTCACTTTCTGTGGCATTCCAGGCAGTAGGCGACAACAGGCAATTCAGAACCGAAAACAGTCAGGAATGTCTACGATGACGGGGTCTACATTTCCAGTGCTCGGATCGACAGGTTAACACAAGCAGAGAAAACGTCGCGCCTATCGCCGCGCGGCGGAGCGGCAAATAACGACTCTCCTGCCCGTCTCCCCTGAGTACCAGGTTATCGTGCCTTGCGCCTCTGAAGATGGCCCTTATTTTTTCATATTTACCCTTCTTATGTGGGCTTGGTTTGCGTGGGGAAGTGGGCTTGGTTTGCGTGGGGAATCAACTCTTGTGCACTTGGAGGGTCGTGTAGCGAAGTAGATCATCGTCTTATGGCGCAAAAGAACATGGTTTCGCTAAGCTCCCGCTTGGCCTGCCTCAACAGCTGGGCAGCGCCAACGAATCATTGCGTAGTCCTACTTACACGACAGCAATGGGCTTGAATATTCTCGTATTTCCAATGTTGTCTATATCATGGTGATATCGATGTCCTTCGCGTAGCGCAGCTGGCACCACATGCTGTAAACATATGAAAAAAATATCCATTCAGGTCAAACCCAGGCGCCTACAGTATAGTTATGTAACCGCATACGCCTCTAGTAGCTTAAATTGTCTGAAATAAGCGCATACATAATAGAATAAATTGCAAGGGAACAAGACAGGCAGCAATATTCCGCCTTCGAGTTATGTAGTTCCTTCTCTCCACAGCGACCCGCTCTCGGTGCCCTGAGGGTGTCGGACCCGTAACACCCTCGTTTTTCAAAAAGTGCGGGTAATCTGCTGTGTTTCCGATTTCAGCGTCCAGATTGTCGCAGCTTTTGGATGGACAGCACCTTCAGTTGACGAGAACAGTTGAAATCGCTCAGCTGTGGGACGAGCGAATAAGGAACTGCATACAGTTCCAGGAGAGTTTCAGTCGAACTGCCCTGATGGGGTTACACGGGGTCTGGCACTGTGACGAGCAATAGTGGCATTTCTGCAGTTGTGTGGTACCATCCACGTCGTTGGTAATTGTCGATCTGCGAGTCGAGGAGCACGCAATATACACCGATAGTGACGGTTTTGTTTTCTGCATGGAGCTGACTGAAAGCCACACTGCAGGAAACTGTTGCCATAATGACTATTCCGCTTGGGCCCACGTAACTCCTGATGACAGAAATCGTTTCGCTTCTCATCTGTATGCAATGAGAAGTGAAGAGTGTGGGTTTCGAACCCGTGAACAAGACCCCAAGTTTCGTCTAGGATCACGGTGCTTTTTCACTGTTGTGAATGATGTCTTAGGTGATGGACTCACTACTACAAGCATAGATCTGCTCTGCGTTCGTGCTTCTACAAGAAAATGAGCACCCAAGCACGCATCTCCTTGAGCATCTGCGATTCCCTGGCGCAACGTGGTCAACGGGGAGGAATGTCAGTTTTACAGGCGAGCTTCCTTGTGACAAGGCATTCGTCGCTTCTATTCATCCAGTCTCTTTCGGAGTCTTCATCATCCAGTCCTGCGGAGGATGAAACATTTGCAAACCCACCTTGGCCCCAAGTTTTGGTTCTCTTTCGCTTCTTTGAACTATCCGTCCTTCAATTATTCCTTCCGAAAACACCATTCTATGCAACTTTTTCCAGCAACATTACGTTTACTAGCTCAATTTCTTTGTGCAAGCCGCATTTGATAATGCCGCGCTATTTTCCGGGCAGGTTTCTTTCGTTTGTCGAGTTACTTTCTACGTCTACGTCTGCCCAAAATGAACGAATATGTCGTGGCACTAAGTCCACCCTGGTCGAGTAAGGCACCAGCCACTGGCCCCTCCCTACTCTGGTCATCTGCGCTTTCTAAGAGTAAGCTTAGGGAGAGAGGGGCCAATGGTGGAAGGGAGCAGAGAACCAGGACCAGGAGTACAGCCGCTTGTCTCATTTACCATACGAAGATGCGTCTTTCTTGTTAACATCTGTTCTTTCATCCACGCTCCAGGTCTCGCGGAGCCTTTAGCGCTGGTGAAAGACCACACAATCCTGGGCGATATCCATACAGCCCTAACATCACAACGGCGAGGAAATCCCTACCATGTCACTTCACGTGTATAAGTGGTGACTGGATAATGCGAGTGGACCACAAGCTTCTCAATATCGTACATGCATCGTGATTTCCGAGTCGCGGCGAGCGCACCAAAGCGGCTACAAACGGGGCCATTTCGCGTAATGACCCTATCGATTCAAAGTTCAAGCGTCATTTCGAGTCAACTAGATAGAAACTAATTTGTTGGTCTGTACGCGAGACCGCTGCTCAGGACAAAGAGAGTTCTTCTTCTTGTCCCTGAGTGGTCCCGCGCCATCGCATGGTTCGCTGTTTTTCTTAGACGTCACCACTTGTTCCAATCCACTGCATCGTCTGCCATAGCGCTCACTTCGGTGAGGTACTTAACTAGAAGATACCGCTCCATCTTCTTTGGGACCCTTCATGGTTGCTTGCACGGCACGTAGACGGTTTCCCTTATAGGGTGGTTCCACTATCAGGGCAATGTCGTCAGCGTAGAGGATGGTTTTTAATGGCCAATCCACGAGTTCTCTCGCCATAACATAAACGGGAGAAA